CGAGTACAGAAAGGTTGATAGAATGCAATACTCAGACTGAGGTGACTGACACCTCAAAACTTTAAGTTGATGGCTAGTCATCGTCTGAGAAGAGCTTTGTTCCTTTCAAACACATGTAGTCGAAATGAAGAATGGCCTATAGTGGGAGGTGAACGTTTTCGAACTAACCAGAGTCTAACAGTGGTTGCATATGTGTCTGTACCAACAAGGTTAGTGATACAGAACAGTTATATGGTTATGACCGAAGTTAGGTAAGACATTAACATTAGGTATCTATACTTCCACTCAAGGATCGCTAACTTCATACAAAGGGCACATGCTTTCAGTAGTAGATAATCAAACTAGTAAGGGTGGATGGACTGATACATCGTCGTAAGTGACTCTGCCTTCAACACCTCCGTACCGATAAGAATTGCCAATAGTCCTAGTAGCAACTTCGAACTAAAGATACCTAATTAAGGCCATAACCATGATCAGCACAGTTGGGGTTCGAAAAGTGACTACGAAGTCTACTATCATACAAACTCGCTGAAGTTCCCAAATACATGGAAGGTAGTAATAGAGTAGGGGGGGGGACCCCGTGAGTGACATCCGGGTTTAACTGATGGTCCACCAGGATAAGAAATTGAATAGTGCCCACTATTGTTAAGGGGTAATTACCTAAACCCGTAACCGTCAGCCGAGTTGGTTCGCACGCACCGGCCAAAATGGCAGCAGGTAGAAGAAGGTAGTCAAAGGAAGGCCTTTTCTGTCTGGTTTACATAAGTCAAACGCTATATGGATAATATATATTATTCCTCTACGCCCCCTCCCACCCTCTCTACTCTTTTCTCAAAAACGCTGTATTTTGTTGTCCCTCCTCTCTCTCTCTCTGGTGTGTGTGTGTGTGTGTGTGTGTGTGTGTGTGTGTGTGTGTGTGAGAGAGAGAGAGAGAGAGAGATGGAGAGAGAGAGAGAGAGAGAGAGAGAGAGAGCACAACAAGCAATAAGCGCAGCTTCACTAAACTCCTGCCACACATTCCCTGAGCACAGTGGGCGTCTCTGAGGATCTTGGTTAACTTACCAGACCTGAAAGTTTTTTCATAGAAGTAGTTTTCCGAAAATTTGAGAGTTTTCAGCAAAGTGTTAGTTTGGGTCAGTATCTCTCAAAATCTTACAAGACTTCTTCAAAAGCATTTACTGTGAGCCTTTTTTTTTTGGGGGGGGGATTATTCTTTTCTGTTTTAATATATATTTTTGCATTACTGACTAGGCAGATGATCCAAGTTGAATGGTCGTGCTCCACTACAACGGCAGGCGAAATGCAAAACTATGTTAAAAATAAGAGAATTCATTGAGTGTTAAACCCGAAAGGGTTCAGACAGCAGCTGGTTGACCAGGAGAACACAGACGATCCTGGCCCAAGGCCGGGCTCTGGGAGTAGAAAAACTCGGAACTCATCAAAGGTATATCAAAGGTAAGGTTGTGAATAAAAGGCAGTAGATTCGATCCAAGGAAGCGGAGGGTAGCTGCATCTTTTGGATCAAAAGCCTTTTACCTCTGAGAACTAATTTTTTAAATCCTTGAGATGATGAGCAAATTCACTCTCCACAAATTATCGGAAAACGAGACATAAATCTGTGCTAATATTGCCATGGAGAAGCCCTAAATTCTTATGGAGTCACTCTGTGCTTGGAAGATAGGAGGTTTAATCTTCTGAAAGGGTTGGTAGCTCTAGTTTCTCGTATCAAAAGCACCCTTTTGATGGGCCATATGCTACTGTTTTTTGCTTTTAGAAAGATGGGTAGATGAGTTTACAAAAAAATTTTTATTCTTGCTTACAAGTGTCAATTTTAGATTTTACCAGCGAAGTAGCTAGTTTATTGTGCACCCTATATCATCCTGTGGAGGGTAGCGCAGTGCTATATGGATACACAAAAGGCCTAGGAACTAGGCCCCGAAAGGGGTTAACAGGAGTCGTACTACCAACAATAGTGAAGAAAACATTACGTTGGAGAACAAGCTTTTGTTGGAACAGTGGTTCACTGTATAGAGCTTTTTCACGTATTGATAAATTTCTGCTCTGAATGGAACGTTGTTCCAGTTCTTCCAAGCTTCTCTTCTTTATTTGTTGCTGCACTGTTATTATCTCCTGGACAATATGGTTTCCCAATAGTCGTAGTGTTATTTTCATCTTGCATCTTGCTTGTAAACTATTATTCATATTCTGGATACACATTAACCCTTCTTGGAACTCTCTCAACCCGTGCTGGAACGCCCCAACTCGGGTCCCTGTTGGGACCTCCCTGTTGAAGCTCCACTTTTCTATTTCGAAAGTCCGTTCTCCACCTTAAGTCCCGCTTCAACATACTTCTTTATCCTGTGTTAGATCTCCCCTATTACCCATATTTTCTGTTAGAACTCCATCTTCCTTTATCAAAAGCTGGAATATCCCTAGTTTTTCTTATTTCCTGCTGGAACTCTCCAACTCTTATTCCCTGCTGGAATTTCCCAATTGTCTTATTCCCTGCTGGAATTTCCCAACTCTCTTATCCCCTGCCGGAACTTCTTTATTTCCATCTTAGCTTCTCTCGTCTCGACCTTAAAACGTGACCCAGGTCGACTTTGCTGCGTAACAAGGAGTCACAAACTGCCTGACCTACTGCTTCATCACTCGGCGTTCTCCACCCGGCCTGCTTGTTACTGGCTGGGATTGGAACCTGTCCAACATCGCTCTGGCTGGATTGGATTCTCACCCAGAACGCAAAACAAGTGGTCGGATCTTCCTCGTTCGTTTTCTTGTTATTTTATTTTTTGTTTTGCTGTGAGATCAGCAAGTTTACGAAATGTGGTTGTCTTAAAGAGGCATTTGTGTTGGTTTTATAGTGAGACTGGTTGTGAAATTTTTCGGAGAGATAGAGATGGAAAGACAGTAAGAGTGAGAGAAAGAGGAAGAGTGAAAGAGTGAGAAGGTGAGGGAGAAAGGGTGAGAGAGAGTGAGTAAGAGTGAGAGAGAGTGAGTAAGAGTGAGAGAGTAAGAGAGAGAGAGAGAGATTGTTTATGTTGGTTAGCATAGCTGTCAGCCGTGGGTTAGCACTGGGGTCCCTGGGGATATCTGATTGGGGGTCAAGGCCCGAGTTTCTTATTTATCATCTTTAAAGGTGTGTGTGTCTGTGTGGCCACTCCTGGCTGACTGTGATGCGCCTCTGTTTTCATACCTGCAATGGCTAGAAGGAATGGAGGATGGGAACTCTTCTGCTTATTTAACCTTGATGTGTACACCTTAGGAATACATTGTGCCCTGTGTTATTTATACATGATAGTTCTTAAAGCCAAACAGAAGTACGTAGTTTCCTGAAGATAGTCGACGTGTGACCTTTATCGTCCTCTCTTGTCTGTCTTTGCTATCTTCGACCCCCCATCCCCTCCCCTTCTCTCTCTTATTTGTACAAGAGTATTTACTGGGTTAAATTAAAAGTTTCTGTCCATATTTACGAGTTAAGAGCTGTCACCTACCTTAGCTCGTTTCAAAGCATTTTTATTTTTATGAAACATATAAACAGGGAACAGGATGAAGTTGGAGCCATCTCTAGGTCGGCGATTTCATTTGATTAACTTGCTATATTTCCTCGATATCATTATGCTGTTCTAACATATTCGAGACTCGAGACATTCTAGGAATGAATGATCTCGGAAAAAAGTGATCTTCTTGAAAAGGGTACAGCCAGAGTGTAGCTCTCTCTCTCTCTCTCTCTCTCTCTCTCTCTCTCTCTCTCTCTCTCTCTCTCTCTGGCACGCATGTACCTCTGGTCGTGCTGTGCTCTACGTGGCCAGTAATAAAACAGAATTTGCCATGGAGTTTGTTTTGCCTCGTCGACTCCAGTACTTCCCATCCTCCTGATTGGTTGACTAACTTGTTCCCGTTTTCTCTCGCTGGAAAACGGCGACCATGATGGAGTTAGTGTAAATTTTTATTTTAACTTACTTCATTGCATTGTCCTTCACTAATCCCTTCAATATTTTCTATCATCATCAACCACTGCTCTCAGAACTTCTTTATGTGAGTCCTCTTCGTAAACATGTCTCTTTTTTGGGGGGAGGGGGGTAAATAACACAACATACGTATAATAATTTGTCTAACTGTACTTATGTAATAAGCTGAATGGCTATAACTATGGCCATAATTTTTAAAGGGGTGGACCGGTAAGCCAGCTGAAGGCCTCGGTCACATGACTGAGAGCTCCAATGGCGGGTCATCATCTGACGAAGACCCGCGTCAGGAGACACTTGTAATGTTTCCTAACGAACCTTACCTAACGTAACCTGTACTTATGTGTACCTCTGCCTAGATAAACTGGTATTTTCTCTCTAATTTGTAAACTCCCCCCTCTCTAGAAATTAAATTACCTAATACCGTGGTTCGATTCCCGGCATGGGTGAAAATGCTGGGCGTGTTTCCTTACATCTGCAGCTCCTCTTCACCTAGCAGTAAATAGGAACCTGGGTGTTAGTCGACTGGTGTGTGTGGCATCCTGGGGGACAAGATTGGAGGACCCCAATGAAAATAAGAGAGAGTCCTCGATGACGCACTAACTTAACTGGATTATCCAGGATAGCTAACGCTGCGAGTTAAAAATCCTAACAAATCTTATTTTAAAATGTGGAAAATGATACTTGTGCACAGTTCAGGCCATTCAAGGGATAATTTCTCTGCTGTGAAGAAACCTTTGAAGCCTCCATAGCTGTTCAACCTACAGAGGAATACTTGGCGATATCCCCGTCACCTTACAGAAGTTTCCCAGTTCAGATTGACAAAATTTATATTATCTCATTTTGTGATGAAATATAACGTTAAGACAACAATTTTTTTTTTCCAAAATGTAACTATCGTAAAGAATAGCACCACCATGTGAGTGTGTCTAGTTTAAGAAAATATTAGGGTACTAATTTTGGTAGGAAAAAAATTAGAAGTACACTCTTTAGGCTGGAATTAATCCCCGCTTTTCGTTTTCTATGGCGCAGACACACTGCAGATTGTGAAGGACCACACTTACGGAGCTCAGGATGAGACTACAGAGGGAGGCTGGAACGGTATGGTCGGAGAACTCGTCAGAAAGGTAAGTCTTTGTTTTATCTCTGCCTACCTGCTTTCTTTCTTCTGGAGATTCTGGTTCGTTTTATAGGTAGGCGATACAACCGTGTCTGTAGGCGATTCCATTGTATATACAGGCGCCCCAGTTTCTATTCTAGGTTCATTGCGCTTGGTATACGGCCCCCCTTCTATGTTCTAGGCGAATTTGCTGTGTCTTTGTGTGCTTCTTATGCGTCTAGGTGACTGGACTTGCTTACGTCTCGCTTATAGGGTCCTCTTTATTGCCCCATGTTTGGCTATTCGGGCCTTTATTGCCCACGAGTTACTCTCTGATGGCTAAACTTCCTGCAAATATTTTTCTTTCATTTCCTAAAATCCTTTAATTTCAAAATTAATATTTTACTCTAAGTGGGAGAATTTTCATTGCCATTATTCATCTCCCAAAGGCAACTGTAATTTTCATATAGGTGAGGGAAAGTCACAAAAGCAAAACACGTTTTTATTTAAACAACGTTTCGTTGTATATAGATTATGAGTGTATTGGGTTCGTAACTTATCGACTACACAAGAGCTATTAAAACTGCACGTGACCTGTGCACCTCTATTGATGATTAATCCACAAAATAGGGGTTGAAGTGAACTGTCTATACACTGAGAAACTTATCTAGACTTGTATATCTTAATCATTCTGTGTAAGTTTTATCAAATTATACCCTTAGTTTTCATATAGCAAAGTACATGGTGATGTCGCTATTGGTGGCCCATGAGAGTAAGTGTACAAAACTTAAATAGTTATAGCTATCTTGTAAGAGTGGTGCCTTGATATCGATGAAGGGTTCTCGAGCCAAGAGACTCCCTCTTCTTGGATCAAGCGTCCCATTCCTCCTCTACTACTACTACTACCACTACCAGCTTTAACACTACTACTATTTCTTCCTCTCTTGGTCCTGTCCCTGTCCCTCTAGCCTATATATACTGGCTCCTTCACTCTTGTGTTAGTGTGACTTCGTAAATGGTCCCAGTCAGACCGAAACGTCGTCGTAAGCTTCTATGACCGGGTTATCTGTGTATGATTTTTACATTGCTTAACATTTCCTCCGTGAGTATTACAACAGCGGTTTACGTTACTACCCTCTTATAAGAAATCTTCTTGTGGGTTTTCCATTTGTTTATTCATCTTTCTTCTTCCTCTTTATATCTTCCGATCCTCTTTCGCCTTTTCTCTGTCCTCCTCCCACCCCTCCTCCACCATTCTCCCTTCATCCATCACTGTGTGTCGCATCACTGAAGAGGAAAGAAGTGTGTGGGTTGACAAGACACATTTATTGCCTCATTCGTCTCTGAATAGTGATCAGCAGGAAAGAACCACCTGCAAGCAAAAACACGGACCCAGGCACCTCTGGATCCAGGCAGCCTTTCGCCTGCGGACCCCAGAGACCTTTGTACCCAAGCACCTTCGTACTCTGGCACCTTCAGACCAGGGCATAAATTTAACAATCTCGTGTCTAATAACGTTAATTGTGTAAGCTCTGACTGTTGCAACTAATTCAAGAGTAGTGCAATGCAGAGTGTCCACTGAACTATACTAACGGCAGTTCAGTACACATTTTCGCATTGAACTAAATCAGCGCACTTTCGCATCCAGGCATTAATCAATCCAAATACTTATGGACCCAGGCAACTACGAACCACTGGAAAGAGAGAGAAAGACGGGGAATGATAAAGAAGAGGTTTAAAGAATCGATAAAAGGAGTAAATGACCGAAAGAAAAGACATACAGAAGTAAAACGGTATATTAAGGAATGCACATTTGTAATGAATCTTGGCTGTGGTTTATCTTAGCTAAATCCACTGGCTCCCATGCAAGATGAAGATCGGACACTTGCATATCGGCCACCTGCCTGTGGGCGCTCAAACACTCATCTAGAGAACATTTTAATTGTCCATACATTCGGTCTTTTCACTTCAGTATTGGCAGACACCTTTGGAACATTTGGCTGTATATTTTGACATTACACATCTGGTTTATTTTTTGACAGATATGGTGTATTTTAACCTTATGGAGTTGAATTTATTAAACCATTACGGTTTTGCGAGACACTGATAACGGCTTAGAAGAGACGTGAGTCAGGTCTTGCTGCAGTCGTGTTTGTGTGAGAGTCGTCTGTTCAGAACCTGCATCTGTGGTTAGCGGTGTACTACGCTGAGAGTTTTTCCCACCAAGGTAAGGTAATTCTCAGGAGGAATCACATGTAATGTGCACACATTACATCTCAAATAATCCACACAATACACATCTCAAATCTCAAATAATCCTTCGATCAGCTTTTGCTACAGGCTGTACACTGTTCATTGTAGGCTGTAATGTGTTCATTGTATGCTGTAAAGTGTTCATTGTATGCTGTAAAGTGTTCATTGTAGGCTGTACAGTGTTCATTGTAGGCTGTACAGTGTTCATTGTAGGCTGTACAGCGTTCATTGTAGGCTGTACAGTGTTCATTGTAGGCTGTACAGCGTTCATTGTAGGCTGTACAGTGTTCATTGCAGGCTGTACAGTGTTCATTGTAGGCTGTATAGTGTTCATTGTAGGCTGTATAGTGTTCAGTGTAGGCTGTACAGTGTTCAGTGTAGGCTGTACAGTGTTCAGTGTAGGCTGTACAGTGTTCAGTGTAGGCTGTACAGTGTTCATTGTAGGCTGTACAGCGTTCATTGTAGGCTGTACAGCGTTCATTGTAGGCTGTACAGTGTTCAGTGTAGGCTGTACAGTGTTCAGTGTAGGCTGTACAGTGTTCATTGTAGGCGGTACAACGTAAATTGTAGGCTGTACAGAGTTCATTGTAGACTGCACAATGTTCGCTGTAGACTGTACACAATTCATTGTAGACTGTACATTGTTCATTGTAGACTATGCAATGTTCACTGTACTTTGTACACGGTAATCACTGGGGACAGTGAACTTGTTTTTAAACAGCATGTGACTTTAAGCATCAAAAGCTTGTTACACGACTCCCATTTTTTTCCTCCAAAGTTTTTGAAAGTTTGAGCCTTCACAGAAAAATATCCACGAGGGCAGACTTCATTAAACATTTTAAAATTGTTTGTTGAAAGTTATTAAATTACGTTATCGGAGAAGCTGTATTTGCTAGCCTCACGTGAGTTGTAAGAAAGCGTTGAAATTCTCAATGAGCACTACTGGAAGACCGGTATAATTCGGAAAGTGAAAATAAACCCCCATAAAAGGGCTTTATTTTAAGGTGATATGATGGTATTTTTTGGGGGGTTGGGCGCTTAATTCGCTTTATTCGTGTTAATTGATTTTGTTTCCTAATTTTCTCAGGTTTTAAGGTGTTATGCATATCTTTTATTAAGCAAAATTAGAAACCAGTCAAAGTGCTCTGCAAATTACTACTAGTATCACCACTACTGCTATACTATTACTACTGTACGAGGTCTGGTCTCAGACCGGGCCGCGGGGGCGTTGACCCCCGAACCCCTCTCCAGGTATACTGCTGGTACTGCTCATTCTAACTGATGGATAGAGAGTTCTTTACACCGTTGAATTTACAGGCTAAGAGTTATTCTGCTGCAGCTCACTCAGAATAACTCAATATATTTCAAAGTCTATCATTATCTGAAGCGTTCTAACACTCACAGGACGTCACTCATAAAACCAAGTTAACACATACAGTAATCTTTGACGTTCATGTAGGTTCTGAAGCCAGAGTGAAACGTTTGACAGCATCGTTATCGGTGTATTAAAATCTATCAGCTCATTCTGACATATTTCGCTACCTCAAGTATGTAACATCCCGTGTGGTGTGTTACCAATACTGTAACCGCATATTGCTGGTGTTTCCACTATGTAATTCACATGAATTTGGGTATCTCTACACAGTGATACCACAATGTAGCTCTTATAGAGGTATGTGTAACCGTACACTGCGAGAACTTTTACATATTCTCGTTAAAAGCAGGATTGCTGCACACTGTGGGTGTTCACACATTGTTACTCTCATAGAGAATAGTGTAGCAGCACACTGTTCGCGTTATATAGAATAGAGCAGTAGCACACTGCTATGTTCCCATTATAAAGAATAACGCAGCAGCCCTCTGCTATGTTCCCATTATACAGAATAGCGCAGCAGCACACTGCTATGTTCCCATTATATAGAATAGCGCAACAGCACACTGCTATGTCCCCATTATATAGAATAGCGCAGCAGCACACTGCTATGTTCCCATTATATAGAATAGCGCAACAGCACACTGCTATGTTCCCATTATAAAGAATAGGGCAGTAGCACACTGCTATGTTCCCATTATATAGAATAACGCAGCAGCACACTGCTGTGTTCCCATTATAAAGAATAACGCAGCAGCACACTGCTGTGTTCCCATTATAAAGAACGCAGCAGCACACTGCTATGTTCCCATTATAAAGAACGCAGCAGCACACTGCTATGTTCCCATTATAAAGAATAACGCAGCAACACACTGCTGTGTTCCCATTATAAAGAACGCAGCAGCACACTGCTATGTTCCCATTATAAAGAACGCAGCAGCACACTGCTATGTTCCCATAATAAAGAACGCAGCAGCACACTGCTATGTTCCCACTATAAAGAATATCGCAGCAGCACACTGCTATGTTCCCATTATAAAGAATATCGCAGCAGCACACTGCTATGTTCCCATTATAAAGAATAACGCAGCAACACACTGCTGTGTTCCCATTATAAAGAATAACGCAGCAACACACTGCTGTGTTCCCATTATAAAGAACGCAGCAGCACACTGCTATGTTCCCATTATAAAGAACGCAGCAGCACACTGCTATGTTCCCATAATAAAGAACGCAGCAGCACACTGCTATGTTCCCACTATAAAGAATATCGCAGCAGCACACTGCTATGTTCCCATTATAAAGAATATCGCAGCAGCACACTGCTATGTTCCCATTATAAAGAATATCGCAGCAGCACACTGCTATGTTCCCATTATAAAGAATATCACAGCAGCACACTG